TATATTTACTTGATTATAATCGAAACATTTCTGTTTCTAATATTATATAATATTATTACGAAAACAAGAATTAGATTTTCGATTGTTCTTAGAATTTTAGGCGGAGGGGAAGTACTTGAAATCAAATTTGTCTAATACATCGATTAGTTTTCGTTGAATTATTTATAGTTTATGACAAGTATTATAATGTTTAGATATGCGATAGGTAAGGATCTAATCCTACACAAGGAGCTAACGTATTTTTTTGTGCGGGGTTTACCGTGGGTATTTATCTACTGATTAGATAAAGTTGATGACGAAATCAAATAAAATTAAATTGTAAGTAAATAACAAATAGTAGGTAATACCTAATTAAAAAAAAACTTTATTTTACGTTAGGTGTCACATGATTCTAACAACAAAGTCATCAAATCGGGTCTCTACAAAGAAAATCGTCGACAAAAAAATATAAAACGTACATAAGTAAAATAATACTTTTGATGATGACAGATAATAATTAATAACATCCACTACACTAATGTATTTGTTTAACTGTAATTATGCACAGTCACATTAAGCTTTGGTCACTGTTACCTTCTCGTTTCTTCAATTGTTATTTTCTATCATCTTCTCACTTTGGCCATTGTCCGCGGTCACGATGTCCTTCTCTGACACTCTCGAATTTTTGACGATCGGTGTCCTCTTGGGAGTCGTCGTCTTGACTTTTTTCTCTTCCTTCTTCTTCGATCCTAAATAGATCACGTTGTGCAGAAAGTACTCTTCGATTTCGGACAATTTTTTCCCGTGGGTTTCTGGAAGAATGACGAAGGTGTAGACGATCCCAATAACGGAAACCGCGGCAAAGAAGAACTGGACACCGTGGGCACCGCCCAGTATACTTTTCAACCACGGATAGCTTTTCACTGACAGAAACATGAGGAAATGGGCTATGCCCATCGTGAGACTGTGGGCCACCCCTCGTATCTCCAATGGATACAACTCGGCAGTCATGGTCCATGGTATAGTAAGAAGACCAAAACTGGAAAACACCACGTAGACAAGTATGAACACTGCTGGGACCCATTCTGTTGCAACGTTTCCTGAAAATGATCCAAATACACAAAGATGCCATGTATTTGTACTTCGCCATGCTTACCATTTTTGATCCAATATGTGAAGAGACCTGATATCAACATACTGATTGCCATACCAAGTTCGCTGGCCATAATTAGATTTCTTCGCTTGAAACGTCGCATCAAAATTGAGCTGGTCATAGACAGAATAAATCTTATCACTCCAATCAATACTGAGGCCAGATAGGGGTTGATGTCTGAACCAACTTCCTGAAAGATAACCATGTAATCCTTAGAGAAATTTAACTTTAAGCGTGGAGCTTTACGGAAAAGAAGTCGACGGCATAGCAAAGGGTGATGTAAATCCCTGCGAACATTTGGCATAGAAACAGTCCAATGAGTATAATTAGCGGTTTGTATCCTGTGGGTTTTAAGAATCCTTTCAGTTTGCTAGTACTGCCTGTTTGGGCGCACCGCTCCTGCTCTTCCAGTTTAGCTTGATACTCTTTTTGCAGTAGAGCCAAGTGCATTTCGGCTAAAGAAACTTCCTGTAAATTAAATTTAGTCGCCATGCAGTCCAGGTATTTGAAAAATAGTGTGCAAAACTCACCTTGTTTTCGACATCACCAGCTCCTTGGTATCTGTAAAACCATTCCAAAGATTTTTTAGCCTCTTCAACTCTTCCTTTGCTAATGAGCCAGGCTGGACTCTCCGGAATCAGGAATAACAGGAATATGGGGATTATGGCATATATATTTGACAACCAGGCGATTATTCTCCAGTTCATGAACCAGCCTTTGGCATACGATATGACCATTCCTTGATTGAAAAAAGGATTATTGTCGGTTGATTTCTGGATGTATCTATAAATGTGCTACCTACCTAATGAAGACAATGCTGGTGCGAGGGACACGAGCGCCCCCCTCAGATTTGGACTTGCTATTTCCGTTATGTACACCAAAGCTGGATTAACGGCTAGTGCTAAAAAGGAGGATCATCAAAAGTCTCCAATAAAATTAGTTCGAATCTAGATGGTAGTGGAATCGAAAAGATGTGGAAATATTTGTCAAATTGGGTCGTTGACAGATGTGGTCAAAATTTTTGTACGTCTACTAATATGTCTACTAAAAATCTGAGTGCCCCTAAAGCCCCTGGTCCATTTACAAGAGACTATAACGAAATAAAACATGCCGCAAAAGCGGTGGGTAGAGACGAGCAGTTTACTTCCCATAGAAAAGGTCACCGTGAGAGGTCGTCCAGTCCATCAGACAGAACTGGAGGTCACAAAGCTCGTAGCGAACCAAAGTTTGAAGGTGGCGGTCGTAAGAAAGATGAGAAGAAAGAGACCATCCACGAATTCCCTGAAAACAATTCAAGTTTCCGTGTAGGTTCCGCAATCATATCTGCAAACGCTTCGGAAACCCGGTCGGGAGAGACTACCATGAATAGCGAGATGAGGGGCACCGTACCGCTCTACGGAATTCCGAGCAAAACCAACGAGGTTCAAACGGAAAAGGGTTCAAAAGCAAGCAAAGTTTATGGAATGTCACCCGTAGAAGGAAGCGTCTTGTCTCCGGGCAAGTTGACCATGATTTCGCCGTCTCTTAACCCATCCGAGTACCATAAAATGTACCAAGTGGGAGACATGATGAAGGGAAAGGTGAATGCCAAGGAACTCCAAGCAGCCTTCGAAGTGTTTCAAGGGAAACACTTTTCGGACGCTTCCTGTAAGTTCGTGGTGAGACTGTTCGATCTCGATAAGGCCGGAGGATTAGATACGAAAGAGTTCGAAACGTTGTATTTTTTCGTTAAGCAGTGGGTCGAAGCCTTCAACGCATATGACACCGATAGGACTGGGTTTCTGAACGAATCCGAGTTCGACTACGCGTTGAGAAAGATGGACATTAACTTTTCGAAGGAGTTCATCAAATTTCTTTTGACCAAGCATGATCCGACCAACAGGAAGATCTCGTTGGACCAGTTCATACTCTTCTGCATCCAGGCGCAAAGGTTCACCGAGGAGTTCAAGGCGAGGGACCAAAATTACAGCGGGAACATCAATCTCCGATACGAAGATTTTTTAGAATTAATAATGAGATGCTTCTAAACGCGACAACAAATTTCCGTTTCATTAACTCGTGCCATGTAGATGTTATTTTTAAAGGTGGATCAAGGTCACTTCTATCAAATGCATATTGAATAAAATAAAATTACGAATATGCGTTTATTATTAAACAGTACCTGAGGCGAATCCCGTTAGAAGTCTTCCTACCAACATCATGGCCACGTTGGTAGAGACGGCTATGAGAATCCAACCAATGACGGCTGGTATTGCTGCCAGCCTCAGGGTATTCAGGCGACCTATTATATCCATTACCGACCCTGATGCTACAGCACCCAACGGTACTATTAGTACTAAACAACTCGCTAAAAGAAAAATACGTAATGACTACTAAATATCTATAGTACAGGGTGTCTAGAAAGGGCAGGGGGTGTCTGTAAATTCAATAAAAAAACTACAAGTTAGAACAAAAATCCTTTTTGTTAAATTTTTCCAAAGATGAAGTTGTCCAAAGCTGCAAGGAATCTACACTTCTCTCTGGAAACGGCCGTCATTTGGGGGAGGATATTGTGCTTCAATTGCAGTAGAGATCGTGGTTTGTTTGCATACACCTTCTCTTTAAGGTATCCCCATTAAAAATAATCAGGAGGTGTAAGATCGGGGCATCTCGGAGGCCAGTTGATGGTGCCTCGACGAGAGACCACATTTTCCGGGAAAAGTTGATTTTCAACCGCAAGCGATTGGTTTGAGGTGTGGCAAGTGGCCCTATCTTTTTGAAATTATCTTTCCACATTAAAACCACCAAACTCTTGCAGTTGTGGAACCAAAAAGTTTCTTAACATTTACAATACCAGTCACTGTTAACTGTAGGGTTCGCCCTCGCCGGTCTTCAAATAAAGAAGGTCCAAAGATGCCTGTTTCGTCGCCTTGTAAGGGCTCGTTTTCGGCAATATCCTGCTGATACTTATCAGTAGGGCAGAATAAAGCGGCACCACCAAAACTAATTAGCAGTGCATTTAGTTGAAAGAAGAACGCATAGACGTTTGATTTGTGGAATTATATATTGAATTTACACCTACTGTACACCTTTAATTACACTATATACATCNGCCCCGGTCACAACAACTGAATCTACAGCAACTGAGTCACCTGTTACAACAACTGAAGTACCAGCCACAACAACTGAATCTACAGCAACTGAGTCACCTGTTACAACAACTGAAGTACCAGCTACAACAACTGAATCTACAGCAACTGAGGCACCTGTTACAACAACTGAAGCACCAGCCACAACAACTGAAGAACCTTCACCTATAGGGGGTAGGATATATATGTTCGACATTAGTCGTTCAATCATGTAACGACACATTGAAAATCATTTTAAGGTTGTCCTGGTAACGAAAGTGCACTGTTGCCCCATGAGTCGGATTGTAGTAAATTTTACATCTGCTCAAACGGAGTTGCAGTTTCGACAGATTGTCCTGGCGGTTTGTATTTCAATCCCGAAGTGAATGTTTGCGATTGGCCTGGTAATGTACCTTCATGTTCGGCAAAGTCGGAACCGCCCGCGAGCAGTACTCGTAAGTACTAAAAGCAATAGAAATTTCGAGCTCTCTGTTTTGACTTGATGCATTTGCAGAGGCCCCAGAAGTTCCCTCTACCGAGGCTCCCTCTCCAACAGGTATTACAAAAAATACATACATTTGCAGACAGGGGCGCTAAAAGCAGATTATAAATTATTTCTTAGAATGCCCAGCGGTCGACCCCCTGGATCATGTAGTTTTTCTTCCTCACAAGTCGGATTGCTCTCTATTTTACATGTGTTCAAACGGAATTCCGTATTTAATGGTCTGCCCTGCTGGGTTATATTTTAATACAAAATTGGACGTATGCGACTGGCCGGAAAACGTTGAGTGTGGAACAACCGAAACACCTGGTGCTACAACAACGGAGACACCCGTCAAACCACCTGCAACCGAAGCGCCTGCCACAACAACCGAAGCAACTGCTACAACAACTAAAGGACCCAGAACAACCGAAGAACCTTCCCCTGAAACGGGTACGGGTATTTATGATCGAAATTTGTCGTCCAGTCATATAATGACATGCTGAAAATTGTTTTAAGATTGTCCTGTGGACCGTTTTGTATTGCTACCCCATGAGTCGGATTGTAGCAAATTTTATATCTGCTCAAACGGAGTTCCTGTTTTGACAAATTGCTCTAGTGGTTTGTATTTCAATCCGGATTTGAATGTCTGTGATTGGCCTGGTAATGTACCTTCATGTTCGTCCATTTCGACACCAACTGTTACTAGCACCCGTAAGTTGTAATTGAAAATACATACAAGACTAAAAGCAACAAAATCTTCGAAATCTGTTTTGATTTAATACTTTTTACAGTGGTTCCGGAAACATCCACTACCCTCGCCCCTTCTCCAACAGGTATCATAAAAACATTGTAGACCAGAGGTGCTAAAAGTTGATTTAAAATAATTTTTTAGAATGTCCAGCCGTTGATCCCATGGATTATACAGTTTTTCTTCCTCACGAGTCGGATTGCTCTAGTTATTATATGTGTTCAAACGGGGTTGCCCACTTAATGGTCTGTCCAGATGGATTACAATTTAATACCGAATTGGACGTTTGCGACTGGTCAGAGAATGTTAATTGTTAACAAAAGAAANAAATTTAAGAGAAATATCCAGTACAATATTGTCTAATATTTCATTAATTACAATTAGAATAAATATTGTTTTAATTCTAATAATGGTCATTGAAAAACATTCTGTTTTTGTTACATTTTTATTAAACAGTAGGTACAGTTTAAAATATAGTGAATATTTTCGTAATTTGCAAAATACACAGTGCCACTAACAGCACAATATCTGTAATTTTTAATGTTTAAAGCCATTCAACAGTTAGCGATTGTGATTGTTTCTTATACAAAAGCTAGGCAAGAATGTCAGTAAACAAATAATTACACGATAAAGATATACATGGATAATTAACTTTTTCTTTAAAAAATACAATCTATAAATCGCCTTAAAATATCTCGTAACTAAACCAAAATAGGATTTTGAAAAACGTATCTTTCTGTTAACAACAAAGTATTTCTTAAATGACAGATCTTGTCATGTATTTGTTAGAGTACTAGTCAACTTTTCGAAATTTTGTTAGCTAAGTAGATAAGCATGGACTAACAAAAATTTGAAAACAGAAACTTACAGAAAATCTAGAACGATTTGGCCCACATATTTATGAATTAAGTAGCGCACTCACAGCCGACTAGATCGTTAAGAACGACCAATGCACGACTAATAACTTTTCAACAGCAGTAAACCAGAGAAACGTCCGCTAAAAGCTAAAAGCATCTAGGCAAAAACCTTGTGTTGTTAACTTATGTTTGTGTGTGTGTTGTATGCATTTAAAATGGCCAACTATGCCGTTAGGTTCGACTTACCACCTGCAGACATACAATGGTCTGCCCATGGTACTCTTTTTATTCTTTTCTTTGCAACGAGGATCCACTGACGATCGACGATAACGATGTCTTCAAACGAATCTTTCTTTTTGTTTTGTTCATTGTTTTGTGTTTGTTCATTAAGTTATGGCATTTAATATTTCATATAATTTTGACCCCCAAGAGATTCTGTTCCTTTTAGGTTCCATGTAGTTTTGATTCTTTTGTAAGGTTATATATAATTCTATCCTTTTCCTAACGTTTTATATAAATGTCATCTTGATCCTTTCCCAAAGTTTCATAAATTTAAAACAGTTTTTTAAAGTTCAATAATATGCTCGTTTACTTTTAAGGCGTCTACCATGTAATTCCTTTTTTTTAACCCTTTTGAAGGTCTTATACAACTCTGATCTTTTCCTCTTCCACATGATTCTATTCCATCTCCAAGGTTCAATGTAATTCTGACGTTGAGGTTTCTGTAAGGTTTTATATAATTCTGAACCATTTTTAAGGTTTCATACAATTCTGATCCTGTTTTAAGGACCTATATAATCCTATTCCTTTTCTGTACCTTCATTTAGTTCTGGCGCTTCTCTCAGGTTCCATATAATTCTGGCCCTTTCCTAAAATTCCTTGTGCGATTCCGTTCCTTTTATAAGATTTCCGTGTAGTTCTTATTCCTTTCTAAGGCTTCATATAATTCTGAACCCTTTTTAAGGTTTGATATAATTGTGCTCCTTCCGTGCAATTCTTCCTTCTTCATACAATTCTGCCCTTTTTAAAGGTTTCATATAATTCTATTCCTTTTTAGTCATAATTCGGGTTCTTTTCTAAAATTCTATGTAATTGTGACCCTGGCCCTTTTCTAAGGCTTCATACAATTCTGCCCTTTTTAAAGGTTCCATATAATTCTATTCCTTTTTACTCATAATTCGGGTTCTTTTCTAAAATTCTGTGTAATTGTGACCCTGGCCCTTTTCTAAGGCTTCATACAATTCTGCTCTCTTTAAAGGTTCCATATAATTCTATTCCTTTTTACTCATAATTCGGGTTCTTTTCTAAAATTCTGTGTAATTGTGACCCTGGCCCTTTTCTAAGGCTTCATACAATTCTGCTCTCTTTTTAAGGTTCCATATAATTCGGTCCCTTTTCTATTTATAGTTTTATTTATATAATTCTGAACCTTTTTTTAAGGCTTCCCCTAATTCTGTCTCTTTTTTAAGAATTCGCAATTCAGAAGGATATTGAATTTGCAATTTAAAGAAATAAAACTGTAATTATTTG